AAAATAAGAACCAAGAGACTCATGTAATGGTACAAGATCTCAATGATGAATGTAACTGTATTTTATACCTAAAATGTACCAATAAAGTTAATGGGGAAAAAAAAAAAAAAGCTGCTCACAAAAAAAAGGTGACTAATGGACTATAGACAGATAAGTACTTGTGACAAAATTTGCAATGTATCCAATATATGCAATATTCTAATGGAGTATAATATACCTTCTTTTTAAAAAATATTGTAATTAAAAAAAAATTTTATTGGTACGTATTTGTAGTACATAATGATTACATTTATTGTGGGGAGTTCGTATGACTGAATTGCTACTTCGTCCCCTACCCCTCCCATCCCTCTCTGCTCCTTCTAATTCTTGGTCCCTGACCCAGTTGCAAAAGCTCTATTTCTATTTTTTTTTTCTTTTCTCTTTTTTTAAAATAAATTTTGTTTTGGACTGGGGATTTAGCTCAGTGGCACTGAGCCTGCCTCGATCTGAGTTCAATCCCTAGTACCGCAAATAAATACATAAATAAATAAATTTTGCTTTGTTTTATCCCAAAAAAGAATTAGATGATCTCTTTTGGGTACAAAGGGAAACTTCCATCAATTTTTCCTAAATGAGTTATAAAGCTTAGACTATAACCCAGTTAGCAACAAGTACATCCCCCAAAACAAATAGATCTATTGCCCAAACAGACCGATAAATGTTTGGTGTTTTTGGATGTCTCTGAATTAATTTCTCAGTGATTTCTGAAAAATGCATTACTCTGAGAATTGTACTGGCAATGAATAATAGATATCATACAGGTACGTTTGTCAGTCCTTGGTTATGTAGATGTTATTAAAATGCAGAGATACTACAAGCAAAGCATGTTAAAATGCAGATGGATGGAAAAAACATATAAAAAATTTTCTTGTTCATTTTCAGTACATGAAGCAGTACTGGCTGCAGGTAAGTTGAGTATGCCTGGTTTCAAAATAATGGAAAAGTTTTTTCCCAAACTTAAAGTTTTATTAATTATAAATTAATACATATACTATAAAGAAACATAAAAGAATATATAAAAGTATGAAAAAAATACACAATACCCTATCCAGTGATAATCACATTTTGATGTTTCTCCTTCCAGACTTTTTAAAGCATGGTGAAATTAATTATAACTTCTTTTTCAAAAATGGAATAACATCATACATGCCATTTCATACTTTTTCTCCCACTTTTCTGTGTATAGCACTCATCTTTTCCTTAAATATATAACCCCCAAATCAAAGTCATGGGGCAGTTTTCTGCAGGTTTATTCTCTGACATCATCACATCAAGAAGAGAAATGCAGGACCCAAAACTTGGCCTAGAACAACTCTACAGTCTATTACTGCTATCAGATTCTACAAATATATTCTATCCCTGGACTATTTTGGGAGTAGCAGAAAGCAGATAGGGCTGCCAAGGTGAGGGGGACAGTTTTTTTGCTCCAGCAAATCTGACTGGTTTGGAGCCAATGGGTCTACCACAATCAGGTACACAGGTAGAGGGCACAACCTGACTCAGAAAAGTGCTGCTGCCTCAGTTTTGTGCCTGTTGAGCTACAAGATGAGAGGCAATCCCCTGCAGGATAGCTTAGAGAAGAGCCCTCACTCAGCTCACAGAAATGATCCTGCAGGATACATTGTTCTGCTCCTGCATGCTGGACTCAAGACACTGCTTTAGGCAGGTAATTAAGCTCTTGTGATTTTCCCAGAGCACAGGCTGATTTATCATCCTGTTTAGTGAAGAATGCTAATCTGTATAATTTCTCACAAAATTTAAGGAGTATAAAAGTTGCTTTGCTGAGGGAAGACACACAAGCTACTCCAAAGACATGTTTTATTTTACAATTTTATTTGAGGAATAAAACTACCTCAACAAGACAGATTCAATGTGTGAAACTAAAAAGCAGACTTACTATATTTGCAAACTAATGGTTCCCACTGCAGAAAGACAAAGACAGCTGATGAGAGGTAACAGTAACTAATTTGTACTGTTCCTAGGCAAGGAAAGGATAAAGCTAAGAAATGCCATCTTTCCTCAGCCAAACTGCACTCTAAGCACAAAAAAGCTGCTCAAGTGTGCAGGAAATAGTTAAGTCCAACATAATTTAAGCTACAGTTAGTACCACATTCTTAGACAAAGAGGTCAGAATATGTAGCCTAAGGAACAAATCCACAGGAGGGACTAAGCTGGGCAGAGTGGGACAGAGAGAACAAGGCACTTCTAACATTTGAATAAAACAACTCAAACTGCGGGCAGACCCAAGAAAGACCAATACAAACTTTACAAACAAAATCCAGTGAAAACTAAGTTGATTTTATGTAATCTTTATTAGTAATTATGGGTACTCTACCAGAAAATAAAAGAAAAATGAGATGTCTGAGGCTCTAGGAAGTAAAGTCAAAGGTGTTAAGAGAACCTTTGGGTTGGGGTGTAGCCCAGTGGTAAAGTGTTTGCCTGGCATATCCAAGGCCCTGGGTCCATCCCCAGCATGGGGCGGGGGGGTTCTTCTCACCCACTGAAAGTTCTGGAAGGAATCTTGAAAAGGATAATAAAGAGGGGCTTGAAAAGACATAGAATAATGGAAACAGAGAGCCTACAGATGAACTAATTCATCTCTAGTTTTATCTCAGATCTTTACTGCTATAAACTATGATTCACAAATGCTATTGGGAAACTGTCTAAAAACTGAAGATATAAATAACACAGGTTAGTCTTGAAGCAATTTAGGTTAGACACTCGTCATCACTCATCTCTTCAATTTAGACTAAAGCTGAACACCCCATTGGAATCATTCATCTATCAAACATTAATTGTTTCTTCTGTGCCATGCCTGGTTAAGGTACAGGCACACAGAGAAGTCAGTCCTTACTTGCAAGTCTACAGAGCAAGCATAAGAAAATCAATATTTACATCTGTAGGATAAATGGCTCACATATAGTAATGCTCAATCAACACTGCAAGGCTGAATCAATACTGAAATAGAAGTGTACACAAAAAGCAGGGGGCCTTCCACAGGACATTTATCTCTTCGCTATAACACAGACAGATGAACCTGAAAGTTCATTATTTTGTATACCTATACAAAGAAACCACCCCAAAAGTATAAACAACTAGTAAATGCCATAACTGATTGGACCTACCAAGGGATATGCCACATAAAGAGAAGAGTGACAGAAAACATTATCAATCATTTTATAAAATATCATTTTAATTGTCCTTAAAACTATAAAGATTATACATGATTTGAAAGTGAGACTGTACCAAATAATGGCTAAAGAATCATCCGTTCATTCCTTTCCTTTTGTCTGGTCACTCAAAAAGATAATGTTATCTGTAATGAAATCAAAGTATAAATATTAATTTATGAACTTTATGTCATTTAATAATTCCCTTATAATACATAATTATTCCTGTTACAAGTTTTTAGAATATTAAATAATTTCTGCTATGTTCATGAGTAGCATATACAATAGGCATAAACAGAGCTGCAAGTTGGGCATCTATTGCTTCTCTAACACTGCAGACCTTGTTAGAAGAGGAGAGGCATTTCTTGTCTTTCCTGAACAGAGTTAAAATAAAATCTTTCTAGCAGTAACTTCCTCTAAGACCTGATCACAAATTGGGATGCTTGCAATGCTCAAGAGATGCCATGAAACCAGGGAGCATGCCCTTCCACAGAAGAGGACCATTCCACATGCTACAGTTACAAAAGCTAGGATGGGGATCCACACATGGCCATGTGCAACTGAAGATTTACTTAAGTTTTAAATAAGTTTAAGAAATTTTATTTTTAAATTTTAAGACAAAATGACTTTTACGTACCAATTTTGATGACATTTTACTTACAAATATTAACATAATCATTTTTACCCAAAAACATCAGACACCACTTTGCAAATGCTTTTTTAGAGGAAGTCAGCTAAGGATAAGCAAAGGAAAAGAGATAAAGTAGTATTTCCTATGTAACTCCACAAATTTTAAATTCTTTTAAGTATAAAGTTATCCACAAGGAGATTATTATATGACTGATTGTCTGCTCATGACTTCATAGTATTCCAAAAACAGTACTCAGACAAGATTATTAGAATTGACATCATTGTCAAGAGTGCCATCCACTGGTGGTTAGTATTAAATTCAAGTATAAACTGTAAGGGAAAAAACTGTATAAAACAGCAAATTCAAGTCTGTTTTCTTCAATTCAAACATTACTGAAGATAAAGTTAACTGACCACCCTAGTTATAACTGGTGAAAAGAAAACAACCAAATGGTAGGCAAGCTAAAATGTTTCTATTTGGTTTAGTTCCTAACAACCCAATGATCTGAACACTCCAAAGTTTGTCCACACACTTGATCTATAGTGGGGAAAAAAAACCAAAAACGAGGGCAGGAAAATAGCTACGTTGGTTTTCCAGGTCAATATACTTTCAAATAAACAATTAGAAGATATATGATTATTATTTACAAAACATTATAACTTCTCAATATATATACTGGTTAAGACATGAACTCTGGAACAGTGAGATGAAAACAAAAGGAAAAGTGTTAATTAAGAGACTTAAGATGCATAAACCACGTGATATAATATATAGATGTTCATGAAGTAATCAAGAAAATCATACTTAGTAAACTTGGTATTTAGTTCAAAAAGTTTTACAATAGTATCTTAATATCGGTGTGATAATAGCATTGTACTTACCTTTTTGAAAAGATACCTTATCTTTTAGAGATACCTACTGAAACCAAACATTTGGGATTTGAGTCAAAACATCCACACAGAGGCTAGGTGTGGTGGTGCTCACCTGTATAATCCCAGCACTATATAGCAAGATCCTGTCTCAAAAACAAAAACAAAAAAACAAAAAGCAGAAAAAGGAAGTAACACTGGTCCCTCAGTTGATGAATGAATGATGGAGGCTCATTTTTACTAACCTCTCCACAATTTACGTATGTTTTATGTACATTTTACATTTTCCACAATAACTTTAATGATAGTAATTTGAGCATAGCTCAGTAGTAAACAAACACTGAGATATTACTATAAGACAGGTTGTTTTGGAGACAGGTTCTTGTGAAGTAGTCCAGGCTGGCCCTGAACTCACTATGTAACCCAGGCTGGCCTAAAACTCAGATCTTCCTGCATCATCCTCCCAAGTGCTGGGATTACAGGCAGGTGCCACCACACCGAGCTATTCATTTCTATTCAATGTTTTCTAAAAATAAGGTTTCTTGGGCCAGGGATTTAGCTCAGTATTGTCGCAGCCTGCCTCCCAAGCGCAAGGTCCTGAGTTCGATCCCCAGTACAAAAAAATAAATAAAAATAAATAAGGTATCTTGATATACCAATAAACAAACAAAATAACAGAATTGAGGCTTAATAATACCTAATTTTAGTAATTTATTCAAGAAGTAAAGTGGTAATGAACCTATGGCACCCATGTCTCAGCAATCTGTATCATTGAAAGCTCTAAAACATATGCCAGCATTAATCTCTCATTAAAAGATATATTTCCAATAAAATTTTAGTTTTATGTTAATATATTGAAAACGGTCTCAATTAGGTACTAAAAGCAATTGTAATAATTCAACCAACAAGAAACATATCATTTAGAGCCTATCACAGAATCTTTTAAAGTATCTTAAAATTTCCTTTATGTATGGTCAGCCCTCAATATTCATAGATTACACATCCACAAATTCAACTAATCATGAACCAAAAATATTTGAAAACAATTGCATCTGCACTGTACATGTTGACTTTTTCTTGCCATTATTCACTAAACAATGCAGTAAATAACTGCACAGACTTTACATTACTATTATTATTACTTTACATTACTATCAGGTATTATAAGTAATCTTGAGATGACTTAAAGCATATGGGAGCATGTGTGAAGATTATATGGAAATGTTACACCATTTTATGTCACAGACTTGAGCATTTGCAGGTTTTGATATCTGTAGGGGATCATGGAACTAATCCTCTAAAATACAAAGGAATGACTATATGAATGTATTTTTGTTACAACCAAAAATAAAAATAAATTATTTTTAACTACACAGTACATTAAGATATACTTTTGTGACCGAGGAGCCTTTTGACTCAATGTGCCACAGCTCCCAGCGCATAGGAGGAGGCTTCCAGTCCACATGCCACCGCTCTCAGTGCAGAGGAGACTTCTGGGCCAAGGTACCACCACTCTCAGCACAGAGGAGATGAGCCACACAGGCACCAGCAGCACCCGTCGAAATGAGAAGACATGTAAACAAGCTTCAAAACCAGACTTTCATATCACCTAAAGCAACCCCAAAGGGAAACAAAATAGAACAATCTGATACTCAACCACCTGGACTCCCTGAACTGGCAACAAAACAGGATCTGGAAACAATGAAATCAGAAATAATTTCTCAGATAACAGCAGAGATGGTGCCCATAGTGCAAGACATTACTAATTAATCTAGAGAGGACACAGATAAAAAAAATAGAGGAGCTGAGGAACATGATGGAATCCCAATATAGGAAACAAATAGAATCTAGAAAATATATGCAAACACATTTCCAGGAGATTAACAACTCCATTGAAAGTCTACACAGCAGAATGAGCCAATGTGAGGACAGAATTTCAGATATAGAAGATAAGATTGCAATTAGTGACCAGAAAAAGAAAAACTGCTTCAAAATGGTAAGGGACCACAAGAAATCAATCCAGCACTGCTAGATGATGCAATGAAAAATAACATGAGACTGACTGGAGTCAATGAAGAAACAGGAGAGAGTGCAGATGACATAAAAAAACTGTTCACAAAAGTAATGGCAGAAAAGTTCCCAAGCAGGGGGAAAGAACTTGACATACAGAGAAGTGAGGCATATAGGTCTCCAAGTAGCCTTAATCAAAAAAAATCTACACATAGGCACATAACTGTTAAGATTCCAGAAACCCACCAGAAGAACAAAGTTCTACAAGGAGTTAGAGAAAAGAAACAAATCACATACAAAGGAAAGCCTATCAGAATCCCAGTAGGATTCTCAATGCAAACCCTGAAGGCAAGAAGAGCTTGGAGTGATATATTCCAAGCCCTAAAGGAAAACAGCCTCCAACCCAGACTGATGAACCCTGCAAAACTATCTTTCAAAACTGATGGAGAAATAACACACTTTCATGACAAAGAGCACTCTTAGGAACTTCGTGAATACCAAACCAGCACTCTAAAAAATTTTAGACAATATCCTAGGAACAGACAATGAGGATCACAACTCCAGGAAGCACAGCAGAATGAATCCATTGGGCACGACAAGAAATTCAATGCAAAGGGGGAGAATCCAACAAAAACAGAGTCATGACAATGATAAGTCAATATGTATCAGTTATAACCATCAATGTTAATGGTCTCAATTCACCAATCAAAAGAAAGAGACTGGCAGAATGGGTCAAAAAGCAAGATCCAACAATATGCTGCATACAAGAAACACACTTAATTCAAAAGGAAATTCAGAGACTGAAAGTTAAAGGGTGGAAAACAATACTCCATGCGACGGGAACCTCAAAAAAAGCAGGAATAGCTATCCTCTTTGCAGATCAAGTGGATTTCAAACCAACACTGATTAAGAGAGACAAAGAAGGACACTACATCCTTGTGAACAGAACAATCCAACAGGAAGACATGACAATCATAAATATCTCCGCACCAAACACTAGTGCACCCAACTATATAAATACTAACAGACATGAAAAATCATATAACCACTAATACAATAGTAGTGGGGGACCTCAGTACCCCACTGTCACAAATAGATGATCAACTAGACAAAAAACAAGCAATGAAATACTAGAACTCAATTGTAATGAATTCTCTTCAGAAGCTTCATTAGTATCCTCACTCATATTTACAGCATATACTCTCCAAATGAATCCATAAGCTATCTTGGTTTATCCCTTTCCTTTTTTCCTTATTTTATCTTTGTTTTGTAGGAAGGTAATTTCAATTGAAAATTTTCCACTCCAACAATTCTGACACTTACAAATATTTTTAGTTTCTGATTTTTAATTCTTAATAATTTCATTAGTCTTCATTTTGCGTGTTTATATTTTATCACACATTATATTTGTTATTTGTATGGTTTCTGCATAGTAGTTTGAATTTGAAGGTCCTAAATATTGTGTCAATTTATCTGTCTGTACTATACATTTTTTCTATGTGGCATTTTGGAAATGTGCTCAACACTCACTACATATAGTCAAATACTGACAAAATTACATTTTACTTAGGTACAAATAATGTGCTTTGTAGTTTTATTTAATTTAAATAAATAGCCCTAATAATTTGAAACCATGTTTTGGTTAATAATAATTAATTCTAAAAATATTTTACAAAATATATTTTTCCAATTCCCACATTCTTCTAAGAATTTGAAAATACACCTCCAAATTTTTAAGTCTCAAAAAAGAAAAAAAAAAGGCAAAGAGTGGAGTAAAGGGATTTAGCTCAGTGGTTCTGCCACCTGCCTCGCAACCACAAGGACCTAAGTTCGATCCCCGGTAGCAAAAAAAGACAAAAAAAAGAAAATTTTTAAGTTTTACAATCTTTACATAGTACATAGGTTGTATTCATGTTCTTAACTTTCTTTAATATTGGTTTATTTTCAAAGAAATGGACATATATTCATCCATCTAAACCCACTGCCTACTTATCAATGACAGAAAATATAAATTAAAGCAAATTGATTCCATGACATGAAAATGTACATAAATAGTTAGCAGAAATTTGTTATAATAGGTGGATTATGGTGCAGAGAGATAATCAGTCAAGTTTATTAAATTACTTTTGCTTAATAACATGCTATTCCATCTTATAATGAATTTATCTCCCATGATGAGCATCTCCACCTGTGTGCAAATTAGCACTCTGGTAATGATAAAAAGAAATTTGACCACATATCATATTTCCCTTTCTTGGCATTCCTGCCTTTCCCTCCTAAAAACACTACACATACTACAATGAATTGAGCATTCAATGTTACAAATACATTGTAGTATGTTTAGTTTTACATTGTCCTAATGACACTTATGGCAATCTTTACAGATATGTCCCATTTATGACCAACAGTCATTTTTGGTGGTTCTTTTGTTAAACTCTTATTACACATCTTGTCTTAAATGTACAATAAAAATTAATAATAAAAAAAGACAACATACTTTTGAGGAAGAAATGAAAACAAGTTCCAAAAAAAGGAATAATATAAACATTCCAAATGAAGCGCTTATTCATGTATTTTTAATAAGATGGTGACTATTAAATTGCTACAGTACTTACAGTCCACTAATCCAAACATAATAATTTTATATTGAAAAACATTTCTCAAAGTCAATGTACAGAGGTCCAAGGGGTTATACTGTTTTCAAAATTCTTTTCCTAAACTTTGAAACCTCTGCTGTAGGGATATCTTGTGGTTTTTTTTTTTTTTTTTTTTTTGGTACCAGGGATCGATCTCGGGACCTTGTGCTTGCGCAGCAGGCAGCAAAACCACTGAGCTAAATCCCAGGCCCTGCTGCAGGGATATCTTAATCTTCTTCAAGATCTCTATGTCCCTTGTTTTGTATTTTGTTTAAGAACAATCAATATTTTTACATTTGTATAGAAATTTCAGCATATGAACTTCCAAAGAGGTTCTGAATAAATCTATACAAATTTATACTGCCACATTAATGCAGCTGTTTTGGCACACAGTTCTTCCTTTTTAGGCCATGGTCTTTATTTATTCATTCATTCATTCATTCATTCATTTATTTGGTTTTTTGAGACAGGGTCTCACTATATAATTCAGGCTGGCCTTGAACTCATAGCAATCCTCCTGCCTGAGCCTATGAAGTGCTGGAATTACAGGCATGCACCACCACATCCAGCAGGCCATGGTCTTTAAAAAGACCTATGATTAAGTTCTTCTAACCCTCAACAGTAAGTAATAGCTCAATTTTATACTCTACTCAAAAGTTACCTGTGAACTAAAACGGCATGTAGAGACAATCTTTTTAAGGAAGAGATAAATGTAGAAACTTTTAGCAAACAGAAAAAGCTAAGTTATAAAATTCTTCTGAATTCCATACAGTTTCACAAGCACTGGTACTCACAGCCCCAGTTAGTAATTTACAACACAGTCTAGCTTTCAAAGAAAGAAAAAAAACAACTATTATTACAAGCTTCTTACCAGCTATGATTGTTGTTGCTTGTCGCCTCACATTATTCTTATCCATGTATTCACCATAGTCTATTTTCCCTTCCACGAAAACTCGACACCTGATATTAAAAAAAACCTGTTTTAGTCTGGAGATCCTAAAACGTTTTACAAGAGTGAGTCAAGTCAGCAGTGGTAATGAACACACACCAAAGATAAAAATACCTAATTACACGTAATTTTATTTTTGCTACCACTTTTCAAAGTTCAGAATTAACAGTACTAAAACACAATGTAAAAACAGACCTGGATACACAGAGGTAAAATAAACAATGTTTTCATCCTTCAAGTAGTTTCCTCATGGAAATTTAAAAACAAAAAAGTAACCTTAAGACTATGAAGAATGGAAGAGCAACTTACATAGCAACATTCTTTAAATCTCTAGGAATGATTTCCAAAGTATTTTACTTAACCTTTGACTTTGGGCTCCCTAACAGATACACTAATTTTAACTTATTTATCAATTTCCTTCTGTACTGAGGTTCATGACTTTATTCTCAAGAGACTCAGATTATTATAATTCAAAATCAAGATTTTTCAACTTAGTATATCAGAGTTACCGACCAGTTCTACCCTACAAAAAAGGCTGAGTCAGGAGATCATAACTATGATTATGAAGGGTAGAAAACGATACCCACTGGCATCAGTTTTCAGAGTCTACCACTACTATGGTAACACAACACAGAAAGAAGACAAACTACGGCCAGGGATTTAGCTCAGTGTTTCTGCCGCCTGCCTCGAAAGCACAAGGTCCCGAGTTCAAAGCCCGGTACCAAAAAAAAAAAAGAAAGAAAGAAAGAAGACAAACTAGTGAATGATGGGTGTCAAAGACACAGACTTATCGATCAGTAGGTCAAACTTGTATATCAACATTTTCCTTTAAATATCCTACATGTGTTTGCACATGTGTATATAAAAGCATATTCATATATATGTACATTAAAGGCAATGGAGATATGTATGAAGGAAAAGTATGCAGTTATTGAAAAGAAACATTTTAGTTACTGCTAAAATTATTTTTCATGAAATATTTTATTTCTACAACATAAGTACATTTTTAAACATAATATTAATACAACTGTTATTAAACACACCCTTCTGTCTGAGAGTTTCAATACTTTTCACATAATCAAGCCAAGCATTGCAAAAGGGAACTATTAAGTCTACAGAAAAAACATACCAAATAAAATAACTGCAAGAACAATACCATAATAACTCAGTATACTGGCATTCAGACACTGCAGACCCTCCAAGGATGTTGTATGAATGCGGAGGCAAAACATCACCTCCAGGCTCTGTGGTCATGAAGGCACAGGACCTCCTAAAAGCATGTGTTGCTGCTGCTCAAAGAGCAGGTGTTGTGGTGGCAGCACTTGAAAGTCTTTGCCTTCTCTCCTGTCTCATCTACTTCTATTTATGTATATACCTTGTTTGCCCTAAACTATAAGCTCTAAAAGTCTAAAACCACATTTTACACATCTTTGAATTAGTCACATGCACAGACATTCCAAACATGCTATTGAGGAATTCCTAAGTACCACTTGTGTAAGTCCTGAGAAATAAAGTTAGTTCCTTGTCATGAGGCTACTTACTATCAGTTCCTTTAGCCATTCAATCCAAAAGATCTTTCCTTCTTATACTCACCCCTTTTTCACATATTGATATGCTACATCTCTAAGGCCTGGCCGAAACACTGATATTCGGTGCCATGTCGTCTTTTGACTGACATCACCTAAGTCAGAAAAATAGAAAACAAGGTTAAAGATGCCCTAGACAAGAGAGGAATGGGATTAAAAAAAAAACGAATTAAGATGTGTTATATACACGTATCAACTCCCCACAATGAATGTAATCATTACGTACTACAAATATGTAGTTTTAAAAAAAAATGAAGAAAGAAAACAAATACAAATGCTTCAGACAAAATAAACAACAAAGGACAATATGCTCAGAAAAATCAAACTCATAAAGGGTGAGGGGGTATAAGGGAGGGCAAATGGGGGAATGGATATGACTAAAATGTTACATGCACATATGAAAACATCACACTGAAATCCAGTATTTTGTAAAATTAATATACACTAATAAAAAATACATTTAAAAAAACTCCAACTCACAATTTCTAAAACAGAACAGAATTAGAAAAGACAGACCTTGTCTAAAAGTAGCCTATCTCTAGTTAGTTAACTGGCAATAAAAAATGTCTATTTACTGCTCGTAAACTTAAAACCCCAGTCTTTCATACTCACCTATTTGGTATGCTTCACTGTCCCCTGATCGCCACATCTCATTTGTTGCTAGAGAAAATATGGTGACTGGATTTTTTCCTTCCGCCTGTCTCATGACAGGGTCCTGACCCACTCGTCCAAGCAACTGTACCCGATTTAGAGCTGAAATGTAACATGGAGAAAGTGACACTGAAAATCTGCTATGGGCTGAATGCTTGTTTCCCCCTCCAAATTTCTATCTTAAAGCCCTAACCCCTAATAGGATAGTATGTGGCAGTGGGCCTCGGGTAGGTAATTAGTTTAAATGAGGTCATGAGGGTGGGGCTTACATGATGGGAGTAGTGTCCTTATAAAAAGAGGAAGAGACCAGAGTTTTCCCTCTCTCTGCCATGTAAGGAAGGACACAGTAAAATAACCATCTGCAAGCCAGGAGATCATTAGCAAGAGTTCAACCACAGAGGCACCCTGATGTTGGACTTCTAGCCTCCAAAACTGCAAGAAGTAAATGTCTAGTGTTTGAGCCACGCAATCTATGGTCATTTGGTATAGCAAGTGATGACAATTACAGAAATCTACACACCTGACTGAGAAAAATGCCCAGAGAAGGGATAGCTACATATACTACATCAATTTCCATCTCTGCATTGAGCAAAAGCCAACTTCTAGAAGATCAGCAAATAAAGGGGCAAACAAAGGTTGGGGGAGGGGTTGGCAAGAAAGAAAACCCAGAGAAAGCAGCCTCACAAAACAAACTTTAGGGCCTGGGAATTTAGCTTAGTGGTGCCGCCACCTGCCTCACAAGCGCAAGATCCTGAGTGTTTGATGTCCCCCATGTCGTTCCCCCCCCGCACCGCACGGCAAAAAGTCAAGAAAACAAACTTTAAATTCTTCTTTCTTCTTTTCTTTCTTTCTTTTTTTTTGGTACCGGGGATCGAACTCAGGACCTTGCACTTTCAAATCAGGCGGTGGCACCACTGAGCTAAATCCCAGGCCCTTCTTTCTTTCTTTTATTGAGACAGGACTGTGTAGTTTAGACTGGCCTTGAACTCAATGGGTAGCCCAGGATGGCCTTGAACTCCTAGTGATCCTCCTGCCTCCGCCTTCTGAGTGCTAGGATTAAGTGTGTACCATCACACCTAGCTTTTAAATTTTTCTTTATCTTTTTTAAAAAGAACTGTGGAGTTAAAAGAAATCGGAGAGCCAGGGATTTAGCTCAGTGGTTCCATCACCTGCCTTGCAAGCGCAAGGTCCCAAGTTCAATTTCCAGTACCAAAACAAAAAACAAAAAACAAAAAATAAAAGAAATCTGAGATCTAAAACTCCTTATTCCAAAAGGGAATGTTTTGTGAAACATTATCTTTTACAATCTCTGTAACATAACAGAAGACTCAGATAACCAAATATGAATCAAGGACATTGTTCCAGCAGGACAATGAAGAAAACAATAAGTAGTATCTGACAGGGAGAAGAAGGAACAATTTATATGGGTCACCATAGCTTAATGGTCATGACCAAGATCTAAGGAGCAAGTATGAGCCAAAGACATGACAGTTAACACGGTTAAACTCAATACACCTTTGCTACAGCACTTACAGAATAACATTCTAAACTCAGAAATTAGCTACTTACATCTTTCAAGAACAAAACTGCTGGCTACTTCAGACTCATGTCTTACAAACTGACGAATCACCTAAAGGAAAACAAATAAGTAACGTGACTTTAATTTTTTAGGAAAGGCAAACGCAAACAAAAGACCTGCTCATATTATTCACCCCTTAGTTAGTAGATCCAGAAGAGAACAGAGATCTCCTGATGTTCTCCTAACATATAGTGAAAAAAAGAATCAAGCACTTTCGGAGCAGTTGACCACAAAAGCTAAAGGTACAAAGAAGGTAGTACAGTGCAAGCTCAAGAGTTAATTTATAGTCCTCTCCTGTTCCATTTGTGGCAGTATTTCTGATTATGGCACTTCTGTGTTTGCACATAAAAAGTAAAACCAAAAAGAAAAAAAAGAGTAAAATCAAAATTATATGACTAGCAGGAAGGCGGGGCTTGAGCCTAGGTGGTGCACACAGGCGCTGATTCTGAAGGGGGAGACACGGGCACACGGGTACTGTGCAATCAGGGGGTGCCAGGCCTCGTTTGCCCTCCCTATATTGCTACCTTGTTGTCCCTAATGTGTCCGCCTCTTTTGTGGCCCTTGGTGCATTTATGAAACTCATTCCTCCTCTTGTCGTATCCCACTTAACCCATCCGTCAACACCTCTCTTCTGTTGTCAACACCCTCCTTATGTTGCGCTCAGCCCCTTAAAATTGCTTTGGTTCCCAGTAAACCCTCACTCCCACCATAAAAAAAAATTGGTGTGATTTCCACAATATAGAGCCTAACAGTGACTGTAAATCCAACCTGTCCCTAAGAGTTGCTGTCAAATATTAAAAATAAATCCAGCATTCTTAAGGAACAGGAGATAATGTAAATGTGATTAGCCTAAAATGCTTCAGTTAAAAATGAGCCAAAATGATAAGGAACATCTACATCATAATGCTATTGCAAAAATTAAAGGGCTTCTGCTGTAAGCTTAGCCCAGAGTTCTATAAATACCTGGTGGGAAACTCCTGCTTTCCATGAATCAAAGAAAAATAGTACTATTATGAATCTGGTTTAGTGCAAAGAGATGGCTGTCCAAGTCACACAATCACTGGAAAAGAGGAGTAACTGCCACATAAGAGCAGCAGCTATCATTACTGAATTAATAGCTGTTTCACGTGGTATCATTTATCCTAAAACCAAACGTATAAATAACGTAAAGTTACCCCCCACTTTAGAGCAGAAGAAATTGAAGCTCAGACAAAGTAACTGGCCCAAGATCTTGGAGGAAGTAAGTAGTAAAGTCAAGACTGAAGCCAGGGCTATCTGACATGGTGGCTGTGGCTTTTCCCACTACCCTCTGCTGCCTCCTTAAGAGACATTCTACCGCCTGCTGCACAAGCTCAAGGGCCCGAGTTCGATCCCCGGTACCAAAAAAGAGACATTCTGGGCAAGGGCTATCACAAAGGTAGGAGTACACATCACTGGATTGAGTTCAGAGAGCTAGACAGTCTATCAGAGAAACCGTTCTCAAACGGCAGTACTATTAATATGTTGTTATTCTTGTTTTTTGGCACTGGGGATTGAACTCGGGACCTTGCGCTTGCAAGGCAGGCGCCGGAACCACTGAGCTAAATCCTCGGCCTAGTACTATTAATATGAAAAGCAGAAACTCCATCAAAATTGCCAAGCATGGTGGTGCATGCCTGTAATCCCCGCACTTGGGAGGCTAAGGCAGGAGGATCACCGCAAGTTCGAGGCTAGCCTCAAACTGGGCTACATAGTGAGTTCAAGGCCAGCATGGACTACATAATGAGACCCTGTTAAAAAAAAAAAGAAAGAAAAGAAAATCCTTTAAATGAACACTCATTCCTGGGGTATTGTTGGCTATATAATCCTATCATTAAATTTTGAGATAAAGGGTATATTAGAAATAAAGCTGTAACTTACAGAATCAAACTAACTAGTATCTGTGCTATGTTTACAGAAGTACACTAATTTAAGTGGCCAGATGAGCCAAAACTGGTAAATCTGAAAGAATAACAATGTGTCTCATTTTAGGCACACACAAAAATCAAAACATACTAGAAAGGCAGAAATATGGAAAGGATTGCTTAACTTGGATTACATTTAAAATTAAACTTTTAGCTTTTTACATTTGGTTTTAAACATATTGTAGTACTGTAATATTATCAAGATAGTAGTAACTTTTCCATGTTTCACATTGCAACACATTTTAAAAAGCAAGTTAAAAATACACTTAGGCTAAGCGGGGGATCTAAGAATATAAATTTGACAATAGGGTTGCAATGACAAAGGGTTTCACACCTGTCTTCATACTGAGTCTTCATCAGTCTTAACAGGAGGATAGGGAGTTATGAAGAGATGTTATAAAGGAGAATCTACAGGACTTGGTTCCTAAATGTGTTAAGGACAAATGGTAATCTCAGCTGGCAAGGCTGGCCAGAGTGGCAGGATAATGAGGAAACAGACTGCATGGAATGAGAATCAATTTGGGGCATTCAATTTGTGGTGCTGCTGAAACCTGAGCTGCTTTCTTCAGCATAGCAAAAAGGGAGAGGGTGCATTTAGTAACAGAGGAGATAAAAGTTCAGAAAAGGAACCTACAAAAAGTGCTAGAACAATAGTTCTCTCTGACTTAAATTCAAGTAACATAGTGTTGTACAGATTAATGATTCCTATTATACAGGTGAATAAATTTGAAAATTTGTATAGCAAACTTTTTCACATGACAAAATCCACTCTCAACCCTATCAAATGAGTACCCCATAGGGTGGCTTAAAGATCTGTTGTCGCTGCAGTCAAAACCCTAAAGAAATCTGACCTCTATGGTTGATAATATACTTCAGTATTTATAGTAAAGTGATTACCTGTAATAAAGGTCTTCGAAAAAGCATGGTTCCTATCTTCTTTTTTTTTACAATCTAATCTTTTGGGCTCTTCCTGAAGAAGAAAAGAGAGGTAAATTAAATTCTACATCTTATAGCAAGAGCACAAGTTCATTAGTCCTAAATTCGTTAAGTGCACTCATATATTTACACAGTACCAAATTGCAACAACACATCAACATCTTTGTCGATTTGAATAGGATCCCCTCCCCCCAAATATCTCAGCTTTATCTGATGCCATTTCCTCCAATATAAAAAGAAAACTCTGATCCTGAGTTAATCCCACTTTCAATTGTCTTATTTTATTGAAATGCAAGCTTCCTTAAGGGAGATATTTTTGTCAGACTTATTCATTGCTATACAAACTGAGTCAAATTTTCCCAAAAGGTCAACAACTGAACCTAACCAGTAAATCTGAGTCAGCTCTCGTCCAACTCAGTTTGTGACAAGAATCGTGGAGTCAAGTTCATGAACCGAGGTACACAATATTCTAAACTTCTAAAACAGTTCCTAACACATGGTAAGGGCTCAATAAATATTAGTGCTATTAAGGGGCTTAAATCTGAAATGTATTACAGCGGGGGAAAAAAATGCTGCCTCATTCCCGCCACCAAACACCGAGCACCGCCGGAGACTCGGGCTTCCCCTGCCTCACCGCAGGGACGGGCCGACGCCTTCTCAAAGGTGGCGCTTCCACCCGATAACCTAGGAGAGCCAGAGGAAACACTAAAGTTCCCACTAACGTGGTTCCTTCTTCACTCCCTCACCTGACGCGCTAGCCAGCACTACCTCCACCACGGAGATCGCTTCCGGGGCACAGAAAAAGCCAGGGTCGTGACAGGAAAGAGAAAACTGTCCGTAGTGTGTGTTGTAGAAAGGTTACCGGCTCGCACCGCGGGAAACACATCCCCTCAATATGAGAGTTCCGAGAGCTTTTGTCCAGGCTGCAATGGATCAATCAACGCCTCAAAGTGGCGAGATCCGCAGATTTCAAATTCCCTTCAGATGAAATTATTTACGAGGTTCTCAGCTGCGCCCAGGGCAGGACAAGATAGTCGAAAAATACAGAATACTTCCACCCTCTGGAGGAACAAAAACCCAGCCCAGTCCTTCTAAAGCCCTAAGCAAAGCAGGAAAACAAACATGAGTAGAGAAAGAGCTGAAGCCGCAGATTTGGGGGGCGGAGAGGGGGACAAAAAATTGGTAGTCAAGATAAATTATTTAATGTAATATTTCTGAAATTCAAAATTAATGTAAGTAATCCGTGAAGTACAAAATATTTAAAATTTAATAAGGACCCGAGGCATATTGGAGCCCAAAGCACAAGACTGTGCTCCTATATACATGTTTTTATCATCTATTTTTTTCCAAAACATAAATGTAGTTGAGATATTGAAAAAAAATTAAAGTAGATGTATCAAAACATTGTTTAAAGTTTATTTAAATGTGAATGGAATTACTATATAATTTTACTTTCCTGGCCTTAGTGGAAGTAAACTAATCAGTATTTTCAAAATCTTTATGCTTCTCTCGTTTCAGCTGAGTTGCCATACCTGACAATTTTTCTTGACCTAGTGACAATCTTCAATATATTAATTGTAATTAATTTCAACTAATCTTTATATTTTAATTTAAAATGTTTCCTTATAGTAAGACACATTGCCATTATTCCCCCTTAAATAATCCCCTCCTTACTTTGAATACTTATCCCATCATTCTTGCCCGTTTATGAGTTTACGGCAGTGAAAGACATTGTCATTAATCCCCTCAAAATATTACCTATTGCTTCTAACATATTTAGCACATCATTCTTACCACTTTCTAAAGCAATTCTAGAAGTTCTTGTTTGTATCTTTTTCCTCCATGGTTTTTGTTGTTGTTTGCAGTACCAGGGATCAAACTCAGGACCTTGGGCTTGCAAGGCAGGCAGCGGTACCACTGAGCTAATCCCCGGTCCATTGTTGGTATCTTTTTAAAGTTCTTCTTCTTAACCAGTATGTTTGTGACATATGATAATTACATTCTTCTTGGGGAATTGGTACACATACATTTTGCATCTTAATCATTTTTACTTTCCCCTCCCCTCCCACCCTTTTGTCTCTCCAGATCTTATCTTTAAAATTCTAGTTACTTTGTTCATTCTGGGCTTTTTTACTAGTTTAAATGTTTTAAAAATAGTGCACTGATGCATTTTTTATCTTGATGCTGAACTTCTTGGTGCCTGTTAAATTTTGCCTTATTTACCCTAATTGTTGACCTTGTGAGAAAGATCTCTGGAGCCCCACAAGGGGAAGACGGTGTGGCTATTTCCCTCCTCTCCTGATTCTTACATTACCCATACTGTAGAGAAGAAAGGAATACCCCATATGCTTCTAACACATTGCCTCCTCAGGCCTGGTCTTGGGGAAAATCTGCACTATTGACCGCCTCCTAAAGGTCTGGCTCACTAACTGGAATATTTTTAAATGCTTATTTCCATTCACTTACACTTTTACAAAGCTGAATTTCTGAAACACCATGTTATACTGACTTCAAGACTTGCATAGACATTAATATCATGTCCTACCATATTCTATTTTTGCTTTTAAATTAATTTTTCTAGGGCCGGGGATTTAGTTTAGTGGTGCCGTCGCCTGCCCCGCAAGCGCAAGGACCCAAGTTCGATCCCCGGTACCAAAAATAAATAAATAAAATAAAAAATTAATTTTTCTAAAGCCTTATAACTGTTAGAAAATTACACCAATTCTGGCTAAAGTGATTACTAGCATGTATTTTTTTAGGGGGGACTGGGAATCAAACTCAGGACCTTGCACTTGTGAGGCAGGTACCAGAACCACTGAGCTAAATCCCTGGCCCACTAGCATGTATTTTTAAGCTGGTTCAAAAGCCAATCTGGCAATATTTTGTTATAGGGTAATACAGACTATTTTTAAAATTTAAAACATCAACCTGATAATTTATGTAATTTGAAGTTGAAATTATAGTTCTCTTAGAGATAAAAAGTCTTAGTTGTTTAGGCTGGAAGATAGACGTTTGTCTTACAGTATTCATTTTTCTAATGCTTTAGACAAATGGCTTTTCTAAATTGGTGCATGTATTACAGCTCAGAGAAATATTGTTGGGCTCTATTAGTCTGGTCTAAATCTCAAGATTATCAACATCTTAAATTGAATATCAGGAATTGTGTTTAGGATACATCTATTTAAAAGCAATATGTTTACTTTCCAAGATATTTAAATTTAACTTCTTTACAAAATATTTAAATTTAACTTCTTTAATGTACCAGCCCAATGATGTAAAACAACCGTTATTTGAGTTATATCATGACCTGTGTGCAAAAACAGAACTTAGCCAAGAGGTGAAAAGCTGACACAGAAGGGATGAAATCCTGAGCCCACTGAAAGACCCATTCCTCTCAAACTCAATCTTATCTATGCAGCTATGGGCTATTTTGTTGATTCCCTGTTACCATGGAGCCCATCAGAGAAAAAAGGTGATACACCAGTAATTATGTAGCACCAGGCCATTCAGGTGTGAAGATAGCCTCTAAGGAATACAGTGGAGACACAGACTCTAGTAATTGTCAATACTCAAGAAGACAAGCATGACCAAGGAATTCCAGCTTACATTACATACACTTGGTATATATGTTTCTAAATCACAAACTGTGGTTGACTTTATGCTATACTGCAGGGAAAATTGGAAAGGCATAAGGGTAGGGATGTGGCAAGAGATAAACTACCCTGTATTAAGCCTTGAATAAAAATAAACATAGCGGTTCTGCCACCTGCCTCGCAAGCGCAAGGTCCCGAGTTCAATGCCCGGTACCAAAAAATTAAAAATAAACATGACAATAGACTATAGAAAGAACTATGCCACACTTAATTGCATGGAAAGAATTTCCATCTGCCAGGCAGAACAAAAAGTGGTGGGAGGGTTCCTTTAATAAAAAATAAAAAAATAAAAGCTTCTAAAAATGAAAGAAAATCAGGCATCAGAAAAGCCATTAACAGGTTGCCTTCATTAAGATGATACAAATAGAAATTATGAAATATTGTACCTTTATGGCCAACATTATTTTATAACCAAGCCTGGCCATTATTGGCTTTTGGCTTTAAGCTAGGCCTTGCTGCCAAGACATGGTACTCTCTACTCAGGAAACATTTTCCAACATGAATTTCTTCTTTGTTTCATGTTACAAGGAAGTGTGCTTTACCCATATTTAGCTTTGGACAAGATAAAACCTTTATTTACAATTATTCTGCCCTTTAAAATGAACACAGAAAAGGATTTGAATAAAAATATGCTTAAAATCGTAGGGAACAAAGCCAAATTCTGCTAAAACCAAGAGAAAGTGACGAGAGCCAGAAAATCAAAACCAATCAACAGCCACAAAGGGGTTAACACAAATTGAGACAGAACAGCACATCACCTTTCCCTTGAGCCCTCCATCTCCAGTGCTTTTGGTTCACAATAACTAGACCAAGCATATCCACACTATTTGTGGTCTTATCTCTACCCACCTCATATAATGGTGGAGCCATTCAGTTAATAGATACAATATCAGAGAGGTTGCCTCCATTCACAAAATACCTTAAGAAAACTGTTGCTCAGAGAGGCTGGAAATTCTCCTTTAGGAATAACGTAGTATAACATGGGAAGCACTGTCTAAATCCAGGCACATTTTCTTGTAAAGTCTTACTTCAACTCAAGCCAAATTTTATTTCTTTCTGGGATCTTTGGTGAGAAATTGGCAACAGCACAACCCTAAGGCTATTTTATTCTTTCAGTTCAGACACCCATGTGTTCTCATTCATCAGAAAATGTAAGAAATACTTAAGTTGTTGATAGGTAGCATTACGAATATAACAATTGGGAAGAAAAGTGGCTACCAATTATTGTACCTGGGACCATTACTAATAAGAAACTTTAGTAGCTTTGTGATCTTGGCTTAAATGCTATTTAGGGTGACTTTTGAAATCTTTGGGCCTTCAAGTGGATTAGTTTTTCCATTTTGTAAGAGGAAGGTTGGGTGATCAAAATCTTTTTCTGGAGGCTTTATGGAATAAAGTTGGCTGGTGTGAAGTGAGTTATTATTATGGGGAAGATTCCCCACAGGAAAAGCTTGAAGACTTCACACTCATTCTTCCCACCAGGCGTTTTGTGCTACTTGATGTTTTTTGGCCCACAGAGACCTCCGAGTCTCCATGGTGGACATCTCCCTGGGAGGACTGATGCTGCTGGACTTCTCTCAGTTCCCTGCAGTCAAAGGAAGAAAACATAGGTTATTTGTTCCCCAACCAGAGCCAGAGTTTACAGTCACAACTTATGTAGATTTCTCCTTTACTTTTATAGGAACAAACCTTAGCTATATGTAGAATAGAAAAATTCAGTTCCTATGATTATGATTGTTATAAGAAAAGGATGACACACACATGCCATTGCACCTCGTAGATTCAGTTGCCCACACCTTGTTAGTCTTTTAATTTTAAAGAACATTTATGACCTAAGTGAACGTACTCTTCAGGCTGGGTATATATGAAAGATACACGGGTAACAAACTGCAGCGTCTGGCTCAAATCTGGGCTGCCACCTGTTTTTGTAAACAAAGTCTTATTGCAGCACAGCCACTCATTTAGATAGATGGAATGAATCATAATCAATGGCTGTTTCTACAACACAACAGCAGAGTGGAATCATTACAGCCAGAGGTCACATGGCCCACAAAGCATAAAATATGTATTATCTAGCCATTTGTAAACTGAACTTGCTAACCCCTACGCTAGACAGTTATAAGATCCCATCTTTCCCATCACTGATGCTGACTGGTGATAATTGGCTAGCCAGAGTTGGCCTCACAACTTACACACTGCACTTTAAAAGGTCCTTATATTTGTGAGAAGGACATATGGTTAAGTATTTAGTTTCTTATCTGGAACAATGGAACTCAAAACTAGAGCAAAAAATATTAAGTGCCTTATTGGGTATAATTCCTGACTAAAGACTGAGAATCTTTGCAATTTATTATCAAGAAATAGTTTAGAAACTAAGCTTTCAAACTAATCTTTTCAAGATGGATTTTGTATTCAAGAGAAGATGGACTTGTAAATTTATTTTATGAAAGGACCATTTTTTATTTTCTATTGTATTTCTAGCAGTGCATAGTATTATAATGATCACTTAAAATTTTCCTCAGAATACTGTCCAACATCACTGCCTGACTTCCACTCCGACCTCACCCCATCTACTCCACAATTTGTTTAATAAATGAATGGATTAATAAATGAATACTAGCCTACATGAAAGATTGAATTGCTCAGAAAAAAATCTATTCTCTAAACACAAACTAGAACAGCATGGCTGCAGGCCTCTCCCTGGAACAAAGTGGATTTCTAAAATAGTCTCTATTTACCTTACCTAAGGTTTTCTTACATTAAGCGATCGCCATCATTTAGATAACCTGCTGACCCCTCAGACCCCAAGTTTTCTATACCAATGGTATTTCATTGCATCCCTCCTTCTTTCTTCCCTTTACATTACCTGAAATTTTCTCTCAAGCTGCCTAGCCACAGAGCTGTCCAGCTTCATGATACAAAGGGCCTCACCGGGCCTATGTATTACAACATAGAATATGCATAATCTTGAATCTATAGGGGCATGCCAAGCTGGTTTTACTATTGTGAATAGTTTGCAATAGATTCTTTGACCCCAACACCCAAATCTACCTTTCCAGTATGGCTATCTTAGACTTTTCCAAATTTAGCTGCTGCTGGAGCTCCTCAGTTGTCTTCAAGGAGGGCCGGAGAACTTGACTTCTAACCAGAGCTGCAGCAGAAGGTCTCTCACTTGGATCAGGGTGGATCATATTCTGATAAATAGGGCCAAAAAGAAGGAAAGAGAAGCTTCACTTTTGGGAAACTCTCCCCACTGAGGCCAACTCCAGCCCAGCTTCTGCCAAAGGATTTTGTGAAACCCTGCTTTTCTAGGGAGTGGGAAGGGATAAGGGAAAAAGTATCTCTGCCTTGGACAGAAGATTCATCCCCATCTGGTAACATCAGTTGTCCATATCTTTAATTTGTTTTTAAGTACCATTTTGTATTTTAGAGCTAGCTGGCTAACTAGTCAAATGGCTTAATTTTAATGTGGAAAAACCTGAGTCACTACCTAAAAAGTAACTTGTCTGAAGTTACTGGAAGGGCCAAGCCCAAAGCCCAATTCACCTAAATCTTCATTCAACTTACTTTCTACTATATCTTGCTCCATTATCTCCTAATGATGACCCACTATGACAGTATTCCTAAAGCATTTGTTCCAAGGTAGAGGATTCTGTACCCTGATTTGAGTATGGTAGAAAATATTTAACTAGATGGATAGATACATATCAATTAATAGTGTCATATAATAAAGGAAACATTGAACCTTCCACTTGAGGACCAAGTTGAGAGCCAGCTCTACAACTTACTTTATAAATTTTGATGGAGATCAGATTCTCTTATCTGAGTTTTGGGAGGATGCTATTCTCCTTCTGGGATTATTGTGAGAATGAATGAACTAAAACACATGTACAGTATTGCCTAACAGAGTCAATATTTAGGTAATCAGTAGGTATCAACTATACAGTGGTACCCCAGTTCACAAGCTTAATTCTTTCCACAATTCTGACTGCAAACTGAACTGGACACAAACTGACTCAAATTCAGTGGTTAGGTTCAATGTTGACCTTATGGGGAAATTTGATTTGGTCCTCATTCAATTCAGTTTGCAATCAGAATTGTGGAAAAAAATTAAGTTTGTAAACTGAGGTACCACTGTTTACATATACAGATTAGATTGAATAAAAGACCACTGTATAGAAGGGTTTACCTCTTTCCAGGAAAGCAAAAGAAAGTCAGGAAGAACAGGTTCATAACTGCATATGAAATTTTCAGATAAACTAATCTAATCCTCAAAGGATTAGACAGATATTTTAAAGCTATTTTAGGAATCGTAATCAGTGCTGTTTCCTAATCCATGAAGTCATATGTACATTTTGTTTTCTCAGTATGATTTTAGACTTGACAGTGTAAGGTTTTCTTTTCATCTTTTTGTCTCAACATAATATCTTCTTTTTGTCGTCCCTGCACATATTCAGATATCATTAAGTACAAGCAATATAGATTTTTTATATCATGTCTTTTTCCCAATAACTCAATAATTGGTGATATTTTAAGGTTATCAGTAAAGTAGCTTATACTTTTTTAAAGACACGAGAAACTCATTCTTTTGTTAATATCATCACTGTTACCACTGGAAATCATTAAAACCCTGAATTAGGAGAGGGAAAGATCAGGTATTATTTTAGAGTTAACCAATTTTTAACTCTGAGGTAGGCATGTGGCACATGCCTGTAATTCCAGCTATTCAGGAGGCTGAGGCAGTAGGAGTCCCTGGGCATCTTAGCAAGATCCTATCTCAAAAAGCTGGGAAGTAGCTCATTGGTAGAACAATTGTTTAGTATGCACAAAGTTCCAAGTTCAGTCCTCATTACCACCAAAATACAAGTAGAGAAATAAAATTAATTGTGAATACAAGAGTCAAATAGCTACTGTAAACCTTGAGTTTTTGCCTCTGAACAATGAGATGCAACCTTCCTATTTTACAGGGTTATTAGGAAGAGTAATGATTTAAGGACTTTTAAACAATAACATGAAGTATTTCATGATGTCTTCTCAGTTTCCCTGAGAAGTTTTCAATCAGTCCCATCTCTTTTCTGGACTTCTTAGTCATATTTCCTTTTTCCTTCTGTTCATGGAACTACCAACAATTCCACTTTCCTTTTCCCCCTACTTGCCATCACAGTTTTAAAAATAAACATTTCATCTTCTGTTCATCTCATGAGATATGTCACCTTGAGCAAATTGTGAAAATCTTCTGTGAGCTCTTGAGGAATGTCCGGAAAGTTACCCTTGCGGATGTGATGCCATGCTACACCACAGGAGGGTAAAGTCTCTGTCCCTGCAGCCACTGCAATTGTTAATCCTAGGGCAAATATATCAGCTTTGGGAAGGTTTTGGTAATTCTGCAAAATAAAAGGGAGAAAGGCCAGGTAATTTGCCAAGTAGAATGACTGTAATAACTGGTAGGAGAGGTTCATCTCAGTACTTGTGATCTCTAAACACTATGAACCAAATTATATCTACTACAATTAATGGTTTATTTTAAGATAGAAGGAACATAAATATACCTTATTAGACCTGCTGTACCTGAAGAATCTAAGATAGAATTTTAGTTCTATTTTGCTTTGTCAGGGTCAAGGAAGCTTGGCACATACATTAGTGGATCAAAGGAAGGAAGCATTGGTTTTCTTCCTGATTATTGCCCAGGAAGAAGTTATAGTTATATTCTTCCTAGGTCAGACCCAACAAACATCTTAGAAGATGGGCAATGACTAAAGGTCATTTTAGTGCCAGAGCTGGTGGTACTGTCGCAAGGATAATAGCATGATAAAGATGGCTGGAACTATGTGAGCACTAGAAGGAGGAGGATTCCTTCCGAATAAGCAACTCATGAGGTTAGGAATTCTAAGAAATATTAAAAACAATGAAGGACTTGTATGAATATTGATTCATTCTTGACTGAGCCAGCTTTCCCATGCTTTTTTGGAAGAGTGTCTCTCCTATATTTGGTCTCTGTTCTGAATGGGAAAAAAGATACTATACATTTAAATTATAAATAGACACTCAATTTTCTGTACTCTGATCCTTCATTTTAGATTCAAAACGTTCCATGGAGATGCAGCCCCCTTACTCAAGAGGCTAAGGCTGAGAAGGATCACAAGTTCAAAGCCGGCATGGATAACATACCAAGATCTTGTCATGAATAAATAAATTAATTTCAATAAATAAAGTTCTCTGTTTCTCTAATCTATACCTCTTGCAAAATCTCATTAGCTAGGAAGCGAGCATCTCCTTCTTCCACTTGGGGTTTGCTTATTGATGTCACATGTCCCAGGTCACCTGAAAAAAGAAAATAAAGAGAAAAGAAATAGATCTGTTTAAAAGTATGTCTTCCTTAAAACTGGGAGTCATCAATATGTTTTACAGGATAAAAGTATACTGGTAAGGATAAGGAAGACTCACCAATTTTATATATTACACTGGCAGAGAGAAACCAATCGGCTTCATTTTCAGCCTCTTCTGGGACTGCAGGAGAATCACTTTGCGTGTTATGACAAATGAAGATGTTACCTGAAGAATACAGAGTAGACATAAGTAATGATTCCTAAACTTCTTCACCCCAAAGATTCTTTTTCTGTACTTGACTTTCCCTCCTCTTTTCTTTTGGGTGCTTTTAGCAAGATTACAAAGCCTTTTTTTTCCCTATGAAATCTCTCATGTTACATTGCAACATCAAGTGCTTAGTATCTATTAATGTATTTATGACCTCATATATTCTGAATAGACTGGTGACAGTACTGTTGTCTCAAAATAACATACACACATTACAATACTAACAACATGCTTAGGTTTCACACTGACGAGTGATGAAGCCATTCATTTCTGTCACTTTTATTAATGCTGAATTAGAAAATGTACAGCTCTAGTTAAGTGATCAAAACACAGCCAGTTTACTGCCTTTTATGCAAATTAAATGTCTACTTTTATATTTTGCCCTTGCTATGTGGGAAAGTCTTTTCTTTTGTATCCACTTGGCCCAAAGAGGAAATGGTTAAAGAAATGTAACTGAAATTTTTTTAGGAGAAATAAACTGAAGGAAGGGACCAGCAAACACCATCTTGGATACTTAATAAACACACATGCACAGATTTTGATGAGAACAAAATGTGGCAGGAGGAACAGAAGAAACCACACTGACTCGGCTTGATGTCCAGGTGTACCATGCCAGAGTTATGGATGTACTTAAGCCCCAAGGAAATTTGCAGAAGGATGTCTCTGAGTTTTGGCTCTTGGAAATGATCACCAGACTTCATATTTTCAGAAATAGCAGCTTGCAAGCTCCCACCTGGGAAAAAAACCAGAATAACCCACAGAATGAGAAAATGAGTATGAGTCTTACAGATACAAGCATAGTAAATATTAAATAAATTTCTCATGACTGCTATCTCAAGTCTAGGTTATTTCAGTGCAAAGCATGATAATCTGTCTTGAGTCTATATCATAGACCTGTTGGAAAGAAAAACTGAAGGGCTTTTAAAGAGGAAAAGAAAGTTGTAATATCTTAGGTATCCAATATGTGGCTCCACAGCCTCAAGTATGTGCCAATTAACACTTTAAAAGTTTTACTGAATTATTGCCCAGAAGGCCAATCAAGCAACAATTTCATGTCAGTGTTAGACTAGAAGTTATAGGCCATTAGAATTTTAATTCTGATGTAATAGATTGTAAATCCATTAAAAAATCACAAAATGAAGACATTTAATGATTGTCGCCCAAGAAAATGTTTAGCTCTATATACACCTGAATCCTATTTCAGCCACAGTATTTGTACATCAACTGTAGACTATTATCCTTGTTGTCAATAAAAAAAAATAAAGCCTGCATTCACACGCTGAACACTATTTAATTACCATTTAATGGCAGGTTCTTCCAATTACAGTGTCCCAGCTCCCATTGGTAGTTACAAAACTTATAACTACAGAATATATTAAAATACTAGGGTCTGAGATGGTAATAAAACTTTTGAAGAAATCTGTACCTAAAATTAACCTTTGTAAAGTTGAATTCAAAGACTGATCTGTCATGCTAAAATAATTAAGCTCAGAAAAAATTCAGCACCTTTCAGAAACCCAAAGCACTACAGTAAATGATTCTAGTTTTCTGAGAGTCTAAGAAAAGAACTTACATATTATAAAAACTTATTAAAGGGCTGGGAATTTAGCTCAGTGGTTTTGCCACCTGCTGCACAAGCACAAGGACTCGAGTTCGATCCCCAGTACCAATAAAACAAACAAACAAAAACCTTATTAAAGAAAAATAATTTTTTCGATCTTGTTTAAAATGTTTGTTGGCTTTTTTTTGGAAACAGGATCTCAATATATAGCCCAGGCTGGCCTTGAACTCATGGCGATCCTCCTGCTTCAGCCTCCCAAGTGCTGGGATCACAGGACTGTGCCACTATACCTGGCTGGATCTTATTAAAAACGAAGTCCCTTCAAGTTTGTAAGTGAGTTTATGAGGTGTCAACAAAGAGGAAGAATGCTACATCCAATAAACTCTTGTTTCCCTTATAGCCTGGGTGATCCTTAAGGGCAGAGACCACATCTAACTCATACTCCCTGTCCCAAGACCTGGCACATAATAAATATTTTCTGACTTGAATGTTCATCCTGGCAACAGAGAGAAAAGAAAGACTAAGTTAAGGATCCTTTAAAAGTAGAGAAAGAAAGATGCCTCCTGGGGTACTTAGGAATCTTTTAACGTGTTCTTGTAGATATTAGGCAGAGATGTTTGTGATCTACTGTAGAGCCACAGTATTCAGTAAAGACAACTGAACAAGCAGTAGCTCCACTTTCAAGTACCTAGGAGCCCTGTGTGTAAGATTAAATTAGCAAAGTAACAATTAACAATTTTAGAAGTTATTGAAAAGTACTCATTGAACTATATTGTTCAATACAGTTTTGGAAACATTAAGCACAGTAATTAGACAAGAGAAAGAAATAAGAGGAATAAAGATAGAAGTTAAACTGTCATTATTTGCTGACAATATGATACTCTACCTTGAAGACCCAAAAAACTCCACCAAAAGACTTCTAGACTTAATTGACAGATTCAGTAGAGTAGCTGGATACAAGGTAAACACCCAAAAATC